GAAATTACAGGAATTTAATTAGCTCAGTATAGGTGTGTGTAATAATGTGTTATTTGTAATATGAATGTATGCTTTGTTGTTTATTCATTGTAAAGGAGAGGGGTCAACATGATCTTTATTAGTAAAAAAAAATGTATCTGTTGCAAATAGTGGAAAAAACTTAAATAGTGACATATAGAGGGATAAAAGGAAGTTTTTGTGTTTGATGCTTTGGCTGTTGTTTTATTTGTATTTATATAAACATAGACATATATTTCTCTAATCTTTAGAAGTCTCTACAGCAAACCATGAAGTTCTGACATGTGATTCTCATTTTTATGGTGAATCAATTTGTTGTTCAGAGAAGCAGCACAGTGTGCCAGGTGGTGCCCTGTTGTTGGGATGCAGAGCAGCAGGGGCTCAGAAGCTGAAGACAACATAAAGGAGATTTATGAAATGGTTGCTCAGTAAAAACTTTGCTGTACAAGTTTGAACTTGATATCTGATTTCTGCTGTCTTCCAGCTGACTTCACCTTGGGGCATCTGCAGTATCTCCTGGGTTCTCCCTGTGCCTAGGAGAAATATGAACTTGCAGGAGCTCCTTTGGTTTTCAGCAGGTATTGCTCAAGGGCACCTGTGATTCTTCTTGTATAAATGGGGCCCAAACTAAAAAGGGGGTCACTTTTAATCCAAATTTACTTATTTAGAAATTAGTGGGTTAGGTAAATCACAGCTAATTATTCTTTGTTTGTATTTCTGGTCTGTATGTGACCTGGCCCTGGGCTTGAGTCAAGATGACTTGAGCTAAAAGAGCTGTAGCAAGACTGGGCAGTGTGAGCAGAGTTTATGTTCAGACAGTGCTGTCCATCAGTTCCATCAGGAGGTCCTCACCTGCAGCTGGCAATTCAGAGGGGGCTACATTTCATGTCATTTTCCTTATAAACACACTTAGAGCAGGAGCTCTTGAAGCTACACAAGCATCAAATCTCATGAAAATAAAACTAAAACAAACAACAACTCGCCCCCAAACAAAACAAAACCCCACAAACAAGCAAACAAAAAATGCTTCTCATCCAAATAACAAAAATCCATCTTTGGACATGTAGATCCATAATCTGTATATAGCTACACACTTAATTCTGCTCTGTGGTTTGAATTTGCTTGTGATCTGCAGGGTTTGGAGCCCTGCACTGCATAGTGCTTAAATTTGTTGCTGGTGTGGTAAGACCATGGTATTCTAATGTACGTGCCCTGAATTATATAATACTACTGAGCACCCTTTTTAATTTTCTTAGTGCTGTGAGTCATTCAGCTTCTGGGCATTAGTTAAGTTGTTACATAGATGATTTCCCTCATAATTATAGAGAGTTTTGCTGCCTTGTTTTTCTCTTTTTCTTTGGCAAACAGGATTGTTTCAGTAGTGGTAATAGGGTTGCCTGTTGCTATTGTGAGTTTAGTCAGCTGTGAAGCTGCACTTATGTTTGTTATTACCCTGCAATTCATTATGAAATGCAGCCTATTAATTATTTCACTAAAATGTGGCTGCTGGACCTGTGGGACATTCCACTTTCTCCTGTTGCTTTACTTTTCCATTCATTTTAATGGCAGTTCAGGCAGTTTCTTTACATTTATATGTAATTTCCCTTGGCTGTCACTGCCTGCTTCTTGTAGATACTTCAGTCAATATTTTCCACTGTTGGTTAAATTCATGTTTCTGCTCAGGAGCTGTCAGTGTAACTCCCAATTCCTTATTTTCCCCTCAATGCTATAGCTGAACATTGAGGCATAGAGGCATGGAGATCAGGGGTACAACACTTCTGATTCACTGTAGAGCAGCTTTCCAGAATAATACCCGGTTTTAAGCACTAAAACATTTGACCTGTAACCTTCCTTGGTTGCTGCATTTGCCTTAATACCTCCTTTTTTTTTTTTTTCCCTTTGGCTCTGTTTGGTATTGCAGTGGACTTGTTGGGAAGTTAATAGCTATCACGACAATTTTTATTTTCTAAATGAAACAATGCCCCCTGGTGCTCTAGGATTCGAGAGGTCTGATTTTACAGTCAAAATAAAAATAAAACCAAATAAAATTTTTTCAGACAGATACTTACTGTTCCTAAATCTGCCAGCTACCACTCAAATGCTGTCACTGTCACTCACAGGGGATGGGGAAGAACACTTGTCAGCACTGAGCAACAAAGAGAAGTCACAAGGAGAGTAACAGGGAATAAAAGCAAATTACAAAAGAGACAAGTCCATTAGGCAGGTTAAAAGCAAATTACAGAAGAGAAAAATAAAATGGAAGACTTAAGAAATAGTCTAATGAAAGAACAGTTGGAGAAATGGAAAATTAAAACTGTCTGCTCAATGAAATGTTAAATCTGGATAGTGATGGAGAAGAAGCAATAATATTAAAAAATGGAAGTACTTTTTTAAAAACAAGATTTAATTTAATAAAGGTGTTATAGAAGAAAAGGACAAAGAGGGTAAGTGTGAAAAATTTGCAATGAAGAGCATTAAATTAAAATGGCAAATATAAAAAGAAAGAGAATATTGAAGGTATATATAAGTGCATGAGTGCTACAGGAATTAGTAGAATAAATGTAGTTTGATATTTTCTGTGCCTAACAAAACAGATTATCGATGCAGAAATTTAATCCAAAGTACCATCAGAGTTAAAATGTAAGCAAAGCTGATAAGCAATGAAATGAAACAGTTGATCTCTCTTCAGCTGAGCTTGTCACTAGCATTTGATTCTGTAAAAATTAAGATGCTAAAGTACAAAATTATTCTTGATGGGCATGGCATGCATGGGAACCTCAAGAATGTTGCTTGTCCTGGTTACAGACAGCAAACTCCAGCACAGCATGCCTTCCCACAGCCTTGCAGCTGACGGGAGCCTCAGCTTTGGAAGACCAATCAATAGAGCAGAGACTGCCATAAATCACAGTCTCAGATGGAGTGCAGGGCTATGAACACTACCAGAGCCGTCTGTAAAGCCAAAATAGACACAAAAAACCCCCAACAAATAAAGCCAGAAGAAAGGCAAAGGAAAGCACCACTTGCTGCAGCTGCAAGATGTGTCAACAACCCGCACTCTCCGGTTTTTTTCAGTCACAGGCAAGGATAAAATAGCACAGCTCAGAAGCAGGGATAACTGAAATGGCTTTAAGGTAGCTTTATGTTCCCACAGTCCTGGAGCAGCAATGAGTCAGTCAAGTCCCTCACTGTAAGTTAGAATAGCCTGAAGGCTGCTCTAAATCATTCTGGCTGCCAGTGACCCTGCAACAGCAGAGAGGGGCTGCTGGGGCATAGCAAAGTCTTGGCTGCACTTCCCTTCCTTTGGCCATGTCCTCTGGCCCATCCAGAGGAGCTGTTGGGAGGGGGGTGAGGGGGAGTCAGGGGACAAGAAAGGGAAAAGCCTGGAAGTGGCTGTGATGCCTGTTCTGCTGGAAGACCCGGGCTTCTGCTGTGGCTGGCAGAGGTCCAGTGGCTGGCTGTGGTCGGAACTGATGCCAGCACAGGCAAGAAGAATTCTGTGGCTGGGCCGTGGACAGGTGCAATGGTAGGGTTTGATTTTATTAATCTGATTTTCAAAGGCATTTTTTGAGAGCTCTTCAGATCATATAGAGTCCCTTTTCCCTGGGAATCTTATCTGTTAATGACTGGTTTGTAAGTCCTACACATGTGCAGGTGTTTGTATTCTGTGACCACCATTGTCATTTTTGTTAGTTACCACTGTTAATGAGATATTATCTCTACCAAGTACTATCTGGCCTAACAACAGCAGTATTTAAGTTAATACTGCTATGTGGATTTATATCACTGATTTTAATATGGTTTTTATTTACCCGCTCTTATAAATTATAAACATCCCCCAATTTGTAAGAACATGAGGCTGTGATTGAATTTGCTTACTTCCTTTTTTGTTATTTTAGGATGAAAATTCTGAATAATATTAAGAATATTATATTAGAACAGAATTATAATTATATAAAATATTGAGATTAATACCTCAAACTTGCTACTTAAGTGTGAGCAAAGTGTTTGTGGCTTAAAAGAAGGCCATGACATTCTTAAAGAAGACCCTTTTCAAGCCAAAGGGCTGAAACCTTCCCTTTCTCTCACTAAACAGTGAACAGCCCAGCCTTACTAGTGGGTAGTCAAAATGGAAATTTACCAAACTCACAGCAGGTTATTGAGTGGACTGTTAGAGGAGATCCTGGAGCAGAGGAAAAATTATTACCCCTTTTAATAATTCCTTAAAACCATTCTCAAAACTTTGTTTTCAGTCAGCTGGGTATTTCATGATGTGCAACAGAAGTAGAGTGATGTTTTGAAGTACTGAGCAAGACCACTGGTCTTATAAGTAATGGACATCTCCATAAGTTATCCAGAGACATATTCTTAACCTGCACATACACAGTGCAAAGGCTATAGTTTGTACTTGCAGATCTTTTTTTTTTTTTTCTTTTTTAGCAAAAGTGTGAGGAGCTACCTTCCCCTGTGGACTAAACCTCCATGAAGGTCAAAGTAGAAGGTCATGGACATTCCATTTGCTGTCTGTAGTTTATCTGCGACAAAAGTCTATGATCCTTTGATGAGCAAATGGTAGAAGCATGGTATTTTGCAACCGCAGGTGTTGTGTGCATGTGAGGGAGCACAGAAGCTATAACTAAATTTAATGTCGTTGATACGATAGCTTGTAATGTCTTGGCTTTTTCTGATAATTTAGAACAGAAATTTTTAAAGAGAAAGAGGGAAGATGTATGTGTTCGTTGGATGTATGTCAACACTGGTTGACACAGTCAGCAGCTGAAGACTAAATCTTCAGGGTGTAAATTCTTTTTAGCTCAGTTGATGCCAGGAGAGCTGTGTCAGACTGCAGTACTTTAAGCTCTGTCCTGAGGACACCCAGTACCATCAGCAGGAACTGCAAACATGGAATCAGTTGAGTTCCTTGGAAAGGATTCAGTGCTTTCCTGCCAGGAGCTCAGCACCACTACTGGTCTTGAAGATCTAATGCTGCCAGAAGAGACACATAACCTCTGTCTGCTGCCTTTAATCAAAACTGAGGGGAAGACTGTTTTGTGTTGAGTCTGAAAACTGCTAAACATCCCAAAATACTGAAGATCATCTGACTCTCTGGGATTTGCCTGTTGCTGTCTTCTCCCTGGCCTTTTTAGGTGAGGATAGATTGCAGCAATTCATGCTGCTGTGTGGGAGATTGTTTCACCTGTGACAATCCAAACACAAAGACCTACCTACAATGGTAAGCTTTTCATCCCATCCACAGTATTGTCTTAAAAGAGCCTACTGAGTAGGTATCTCTGATTTAGAAGCAGGATGGAGCTGAAATCATGTCCTGGCATGCAAGCATTTTGGATTATTTAATAACTTAATATTTCCTTGAGGATTGATAGTTTAGTCTGTCATTTATTTGTTTGATATTTTATGATCTGATGATTTCTCCTCACATATTTTAGTTAGGCATATTATGTATCACTGTTGCTTTATGTTTTCTATTACTGGGAATTAATTTTTCACACAGTATCTTCATTTAATTATATAATACAATTGCATGTGCATCTGCATGGATATGAAGAATCTGTTCTAATTTAGCCATTATATATTACGCTATCTTGGGTTTTCCAGTAAAAATTCCCAAGTTTTTTGTTTTAGCATAACAATAGTCATATTCATTGCTTCTTACATTTTAACAAAAGCACTCAGATGCCAGTTCATAGATTGACATAATCAGCTTTGTCTCTTAATTGGAAGAGAGAATAAAGCTGTTTAGGGGTGTCAATAAAATGACAGATGCATCATTAACAGAAGGCTACATTGTATCAGAATGGTGCAAATCTTTGGAATTGAAATGTTTAAAATTTTTACTGGTAACCTTTTGTTTCTAATTTTCATTTTCTTGTATTTTTTTCATAATTGAAAAATAGCAAAGGTACATAATACAGCATATATATGGAACAGTTATTGGTGGTAGAGAACTCAAGTTTATAACCAGAGTAGAGCTATAGCTAGGAAAACTTAGGATTTATGCCTACCCTCAATACAAAATTCAGTGCTCCCTTTGGCCATGCCTTTGATGCACTCCTCATCACCCCTATGATGTCACCAGTTGTTTATGAGCCGTGGGATAGCATGTATATTATGAAATTCAGGCCTCACCCTATGCCTGACTTCCTGGTGCAGCACAGGGTATGAAATCTATCCACAATCAGTCTGAATATTCAGTTCAGTATTGACTTCAGTGAGTCCATATTTCTTCAGCTGTTTATGATGCTATTGATACCCACTTATCCTTTGGAATAAAGGAAGTTTTTACATTGTACTTTTAACACACAATTGTTCTTTCAGTCAGAACAAACAAAAATTGCAGAATCGGACAAAATTGCAAATATTTAAACACTGGGACAATGGGAATGCATGTTTTGGGATTCAGACATACAGATGGAAATAAGATTGCATGCTGCATCTATATGTGGCAGTCAGAGGTGGCTCATCCCAGCAGGGTTTGATGCCCAGAGCATCCACAAGACCCAGCATCTCATATCAGCTTTACTGACAACCTGATCTGGAGGATTTTCCCATTTCTTACAGATCCAACTGTCTTCTGGCAAGCACTATTGAGGTCCTTTCTAGGAAGAAATCCGTGTTGTTTTTTGTGTTCGGCACCGGTCATATGACAGAGTTTGGGGTGCTAATGGTCTGGCTTCTAGGTCACATAGCAAGACACATGAGAGTCCATCCTTGAGTGTAGTCAAAACACCCACACCTACAGACTTCTGTGCTAGATAAGTGCTGTGCAGCCAGTCTTGAAATCTTTTAAGCAAAGGGAGTGATGATTGGGTCAGTCACCAGCCTGTAGTCCTGAGCTTGCATCCCTGGATTAACATGGATGAGGTGTTCTAAATCTTAGTCTTCTTCTCTGTATCCACATTATTTTTGTTAGAACCTGTAAAGCTCATTATCTCTTCAACATAAATCTTTTAAAGTTTTAAGATTTCATGAAGTTTGACACTTCTGTGAATTTTGTGTCCTGTGTATAGACAGCTGCCTCATCTGCTGTTTGGGAATCAGCGTTTAATTATGTGGGGCTCCAAAGCAATTGCAATGGTACCCAGTTGAAGTAGCTGGTTGAAAAATATTGAACACTTTATTAATAAAATTTCAAATTTGAATGAGATGAGGATGTGCAGATTGAGGAGCATCAGGGAATATGATAAACAGACAGACAGACAGGCTACTGGAATCTCATCCTGTCTTCCCCGAGACAGGCACAACAGACAACAGCCCATGATTTATGGAGGATTCCATCTCTTCTTGAACACAGTGATTTACAGGATAGGGAGCAATGGGGATAAACTCCTGCCCAGTGCAGCAGGAGCATCACCTGTGTGACTGCCCCACCTCCCAGGTGCCTGGCATCACAGGGGTGAGGCTCTGTGAGTGTAGCTGGACAATGGTGAGAGCTAGGGCTCCTCTAGCATGGAGGCGTCACCAGGGTCAAGTCAGACCACACCCTCTGTCAAAGCCACTTCCTGAAAGCAAGAAGAGAGGTCACTGTCATAGGAAACTCTCTTCTGATGGGAACAGAAGCCCTAACATGCAGACTGGTCACACCTGTTTGGGAAGTCTGCTGCGTCCTGGGTCCAGCTTAAAGATGTGAAGAGAAACTTTCCCACCCTGTTACGGCTTTCAGGTTATCACCCATTATTGATTTTTCAGGTGGCAGTATGAAAGTCCCAACAAGAAGTCTGAGGGCAGTCAAGAGAGACCTCAGGGCTTGGGAAACTGGCTAAAGGATCAGTTGCACAAGTAGTGTTCTCCTCTATTTGCAGGGAATGATGGGGGAAAATAGGAAGAGCCAGCAGTTCAATACCTGATTCCAACCTTAGTGTTCACCCTATTTTTCATCATGGGTTGGCTGAATTTTGGGTTCTAATATTGAGTTTAAAGACAGGGAGGCACTGGAGCATGCCTGGAGAAGGGGAAGGTAGAAGGTGAAGGTTCTGGAGCACAAATCCTATGAGGAGTGGCTGAAGGAGCTGTGGTGGAGAAAAGGAGGCTCAGGAGTGACCTAATCACTCTAGAACTCCCTGAAACTGGGTCAGTCTATTCTCCTGAGTACCAGTAGGTAGGACAAGAGGAAATGGCCTCAAGTTGCACACAGGGAGGTATAGATTGGATGTCAGGAAAATTTCTTCATCAAAAGGGTGGTCAAGCATTGGAACAGGCTGCCCAGGAAAGTGGCTGAGTCCCAGTCCCTGGAAAGACTGTGTGGAAGTAACACTTCGGGGACATGGTTTGGTGGTGGACTTGTCAGTGCTAGAGCAGTGGTTGGGTGTGATGATCTTAAAGGTCTTTTCCAACCTAAATGACTCCAGTATTCTGTGAAATTACTCAGTAGGAGGGTACTTGGTTTTGAAAAAAGAAAATAAAAGGATAATATATTTTCATATATAGCCATCTTGGATTTTTCAGAAAGATGATCCTGTATAATGTTAATATTATTTTGTAGAGGAATCAAATGAGGAAAAAAATGAAACAAGTATTAATTTGAAATTCTAATGTCTCTGATTCCAGTCCCCAAGTTGACATTTGCTCACTTTAATTGAAAAAATTGAGAATTTTATTTATGTTTTCTACTCCTTTTTCTTAGCAGAGGGATTTAAAACATGTTCAGACCTACAGTGTCCCAGTCCCTGTTCTGTCTTACAATCTTCAGTAAGTAATAATATCTTACTTTCTGTGACTGCAGAATGAAAATATATTCTTGATTTACCTAAAACTGCAATTAGTTAGTTTGCCTAAAACCAACAAAGATTACATTTGAGAGAACTCACACAAATACAAGGCTTCATTTAGGTTTAACCCTTATGTCCTTGAATACAATACAGTTTACATAAATATTTAAGGGCAGCCACAGACCAATTAAAGGAATATATTTTCCAAGCATCAAACCATTGTTTTCAGGCAATGCACTGATGCTCCTAAATTAATACATATTAAATCTGTTATGGGCTTAGCAGAGTTTTAGGCTCAGGAGAGGGAAAAGCAGATGAGAGCACCCCAGGGGGAGGTCGGGCAGAGATTGCCCGTGAGACACACGACCCACGCTCTCAGAGTCTTTGTGGCTGAGCGTGGCTGCAAGCTGCTCTGCAAATCCGCCCCAGGAGGACAGGGCACCACCATCCCTGTTTTTAAGTCCTTTCAGCATCCTAGGAAAAGCTGTGGGCAAGCTGAGAAGGCTGTGACTGGCTTCATTTTGATATTTGCTAAATAAAATTGAGGAGCAGCTGTTTTGTGGGAAATATATTTAAGGGGTATTTTTTTTTAATTTAAAAATAAAAATGTTTTAAGATACTTCAGAATTCCCCTCATAATAAGAGGTCTAGTCTTAATCTAGTCCTACCCAAAATTGCTTAGTAAAAGACTGCACTTTTCATATCCACTCACTTCAGACCCAAGAGTCCATCAGATTGCTGTTTCATAGTGCACGGTATGAATTATAAAAAGGTGCTGCTCAGATGTACATTTATGTGAAAAGTGTCACTACACAGACCTAGGAAAATGCATTTGCAAGTAATTGGATTTGAGGCTCCCTAATTGTGGCAGCTTGTTAAGGCAGGGATAGGACTTATCCAATGTGAACTATGAGAAAGTCTGATTTGAAAAAGACCCATATGCTCTTGAATGCTGGAGCAGAGATGGAGCAGAGCTCAGGGTGAGAGAAGGAGGGAAAGGTACAAGCAAAGTGGAAAAGAAGTTTTGGAAGAAGAGTAAAGAACGTAGAAGCACATCTAGGAAGGGGAAAAAGAGGAGAGACTTGTTGCAGCTAGTGAAAAGCCAAAGATAAAGAGTGCAGGTCGCTGCATGCGTTCTGCTGAAATAGATCACCTGAAGTTTCTGCTGAGAGAAGTAAAATCAGTTCAGAAGGAGAAACTGAGATGTTAATCTAGGCTGGTGGCAGAAGGAGATGAAACAGGAGAAAATTAATGTTTGTGGGAAATCCCACTACAAGACTGTTTCTCTTAACATACAAGACTATGTGCAATAGACTTGTAGCACTGGAAGGAAAAGAGGGAAAAGAAATATCTGGAAAGAAAATATGAATAATTGAATGATCTTTGAAAGAGAAGACCTACTAATACTGTGTTCATCTTACAGACTTTAAAGCTTTTGAAACGTTCACCTAAGTGCAGTATTCAATTGCTGTTTTCCTGTGATACATGCCTGGCTGACAGGAATAGT